TCGGGAGAGCGCGGAGGCGCATGGGTATGCGACGGACCATCACAGTCGAAGAGGAAGACCTGATGCCATTGTCAGTATATCTATACTTTGTATACTTCCAAATATACTGTCTAGTCAGTAGTAAGGCATGGTGTGACTCACATCGAACTTGTCGAGGAATTCCTGGATGCCCGCAGCGTCGCCGGTCAAATAGCGGGGTGTATGCGTCGACGCGGGGTATTCCGAGGAGGGAGCGGAGGTCGCCATGTTGGCTGTCTATGGTATTGAGTCTATGTCGGAAGGGATAGTAAAATGGACTGTTTCCGGTTCTAATAAGCAGACGCAAGGAATGACAGAATTGCTTGCCAGAAAGTAGAATGACTCGAGCGGCGTACAGCAATCCGGGTCTCGGTGAGAACAGCGAGCGGGCCGCACGTGAGGGGCCGAGGGCGGATATCCCAGCCCTACAAATGAACTACAACGAACATTATAGTTGGTATAGAAGTGATGTGAATGCTTTTAGCTCGTTCATTATTATATCATACAGTCGTAATCTCCAACTCCACTCCGACCGAATAACTCATCGAATGGAGCAGCACGTCTGCTGTTTCTCGCGGACTGGTAGCGGCCGCAACTGTAGTTCAGTTCAATGCAACTGTGGACGACGTCGCATATCTTCGCGGTCTCTGCATCCTCCTGATACATCAGGATGCATGGCTTGTCGCCGGCTCTTCCACATCCTACCGGAGGAGTTTCAGCGGGAAAGCACTGTTTCAAAGGTAGAGTAGCCTAGGGACCTCAGGCTCTCCAACCTGATCTAAGCTCCGCCAAGGATGCCAGAGATCTTAAGAGCTATATCCAAGATAGACAGGTGCTCATCTGCACCATCAACCAGACGTCGATCCATATCCGAGAATGCCATAACGATCTTGTTCTTCTGGATATCAGGAATCGCATCGTTGAACACCACCCGTCGATACAACTACTCAAAGTTAGCATCAATAAACTCCCACTGCGTCCAACCACATACCTGCAAAAGAAGCTGCGTTGCACTCCACCCATCAGCAATGATGTCCGTAACCACCTTCGCAACAGCCTCATACGAAGATCCGATCTTCTTCGGCTGCATCGCCTGCACCAACGCATCCAATACGCTCTCCGGAACCACACCAGCAATCTCCTCAATCGTCCGAATAGTAATAACCTCCGACTCCTGATCCGTCATCTCCTCGTCCTCATCCTCGTCCTTCTTCCCAGCACGACCCGCGCCAACCAGCTTAGCCGCACTCTGCATATATGTAATTGCCCGTCGCATATCACCCTCACTGCAAGCAATCAACTTATCAATAACCCCATCCTCCAACCTCAGATTCTCCACCTTGGCAATATGCTCCAATCTCTCACCAGCCGCCGAATTATCCAAAGCCTTGAACCGGAACTTGCTGCAACGACTAGCAAGTGGCTCGATAATCCTTGTGACGTAGTTGCAAACCAAACAGAAACGGGTAATCCGACTGTACTGCTCCATTGTGCGACGCAACGCAGACTGCGCATCCTGCGTCATGCTGTCCGCCTCATCGAGAATAATAATCTTAAACGGCGGGCACGGGTATTGTGCCAAGTATTCCTCGCCCAACCCCGTAGAGTGTGTGAGTTGCGCACGGGCAAAGTTCTTGATCTTATCACGCACGATACCGATACCACGTTCGTCGGAGGCGTTCAGTTCGAGAATGCGCGAGCGGTAGAGAGAGGGTCCGAAGAGGGATTTGGCGAGGGCGAGGATGGTGGATGTTTTACCGGTACCTGGCGGTCCGTAGAAGAGCATATGGGGGAGCTGGATACTCGTTAGCAGATTGTTGTTTCTGGCTGACAATGGGATCTATTTCGTACGTTGGAGGCTTGGAGTGTTCGTTGGAGGACTTTTGTTGTGTGATCTTGAGCGGCGACATCATCGAGGGTCTTGGGACGGCTTTGTGGATGTCAGCTCGAGTGCTATATGTCTGGTCCAGTAGGTGGCATACTATTTCTCAACCCATGGTTGTTGCTTGGCTTGTTCTTCCTTGCTATCTGTGGGCTTCGACTTCGAAGGGTTCGCTGCTGCTGCCGCAGCGCGAGCCTTGTTGTTGAAGAAGTTGGCAGCCATGGCTTCGAGTGTGAGTACCAGACTTCAGCAATGCGATTGATTGATTAATGGTATAGCGGAAGCTGCTGTCGGAGCTCTGGCACACGGGCGGAAAGCGTGTCGGGACGCGTCTCCACGTGATACGCGACGGCGCCAAGCCATTTATTGTTCGCTTGAGGCCGAGGCAGTGATCTACTATCTATAGAGTGATCTAGATTTACGTAGGCAATTGAGCTCGCTGTAAGAAGCTAATGAGCAGGTACACTTCTGCGCTTGGCAGTCATCATCACACATTACTTTCTATCTATAGTTCGTCCCTCTGCTGTGGTATATCCGTCGCCTCAAACATCCTCTTCTTAGGATTCCGGGGCAACTCCGCCTGCCTTTGCCTTTCTTCTTCAGAAATGTCGTCAATGTTGGTCTCCTCCTGCTCCTCACTTTCTTCCACCATTTTGCCGATCTCATCGATTAAGCGGTCCTCCTCTGCCTCATCCGCAACCGGAATTTGATCCCATACCGCTTCGCCCTCAGCGCTTTGAACGTTCGGCTCCACCTTGTGCTCAACTAGTGGAGTCTCTTGCGGCACATATTCGAGCATCGTACTAGGTTCAGAAGACTGAACAGCCTTACCAGTAATCCCAACGACGCCCAAAATAGCAAACGTAAACCTCGCGAACAGCCTGATGGGCAGCCAGACAAGCCACCACAAGGGACCGTATAATATCCGCCTGAAGACAAGCCAAGTAATGGTGCCCACCAATATGTAAAAAGCCGTCTCAAGGTACCACGTATCCGACTTTTGCGAGCGGAGCAGAGACCCGATGAGGTTGCGCGACGACGAAATCAGAGAATCGAGGTCGGTATAGGATTCTGACAGCGAGGAAAGCGCAGCAGTCGATTGTTCTAACCCAACATTGTTAGCCATTACTCTGAAGTCCTCTAGATGAACCAGCACAAACCTAACGTCTCCTGCGCAAACTGACTCCGCGACAGCTCCGCTTGCATCAGCTGATGCGTCCGTCTCAGCGCAGCCGTAACATCATTCGAAGCATTCATAACAATATCATCCTGCGTCAACTTCTCACTCGACTGCTTCTTCCTCTCCGCACTCTGTGATCTCGTAAACAGTAGCTCTCGCTCTTTCCGTCGGGCAACTTCAGCATTCCGTTTCGCTTGTAATTGTGCGTTCCGGAAGTCTCCTCTCGTTCTGTCATAACCATAGCACACACATTAGCATATCAACCATCAAAAACAGACACAGAACAATGAGTCGCTGCACCTACCTCTTCAAATCATCTGCCAGTCGTCCTGCCAAAGCAATAACCCGTTCTCTCTCCGACTCCTTCTCATTATCCACACCCTTGCGCCGTGTATCCGCTGCAGTCTCCAAGGCCTCAACCTCGACCTTCAGCAACTCCAATTGCTCCTCCGCATCTTTCAGACGAGTATGGATTTCCGTCCCCAATTCCAATCGAGGCTGATCTCCCTGTCCGACAGCAGTCGTGAAGCCCTTTAACCGAGAAACCAGGGGATGTATATGAGACAGAGCTGTAGAGAGCTCTTTCAAGCGAGCTTGTAAATCGGTGATGCCGGACATTTTGCGTGTGCGATGATGTAGTAGAAGTAGTAGTGGATATCGCAGGAAAAGTACAATATTTATACAGAAAAGCGCCTCGCTATAGCATCCACAAAAGCCTAATCCCCAAACAAATCAAGACACCGGAGAAGAAAAGGCAGGTGAGATTCAAGAGGGGAAAAAGGCGGAGATGGCCAATGTGTCCGCAACTTACTTTACAGCGTCATCGCGCCCGTTCCTGAGGCCGCCGCCGCCGCCGCCGATCTACCTCCCGTACCACGGCACATGTTTGCATGTCAGACAAACACCACCCAGCGAGCGAGCGACCGCGCTGCGCATCCCGGAGAGCGGACGGATTTGAAGATAGTTGAAGTTATCCGTGAAGGGTGATTATTTTCTCCGCTTGATTCCCTAGAAATCATACACCACACCACGCAATTGCCTCAATCACATAGTCAAGCTCAATTGCCTTGACTCATACAACACATACCACCTTTCTACATCTCCCTATACCTACAAAGTACGTCTCCCAAGCCCCATCAAAAACCATATAAACTAACAATCAAAAAGAAGACCCTACAACAAAACCACCGCCAAAATGACCATCCCTCTCTCAACAATCTCCACCTTCCGCACAACCTTCAACCCTTTCCTTCGCTCCGCCCGCCCCTGCAGACTCATCCTCTCTCTCCTCCGCAATCCCACGACCACGCCGACCTCCAGCCCCGGCCACATCGACATCAAGGTCACTCAGCTGCCGCGGTCGTCGACGCAAGAGCCCGAGCTGACGATAGGGTTCAAGAATGGCAAGGAGTTGAAGATTGAGGTTGGGAAGCGCCAGATGAAGATTGGTGATGTGGTTGAGGAGATTGCTCGTGTTGGGAGGGCTATTGAGCGTGAGGAGGCGCTGAAGTCTTAGATTCTTTTCTTGTTTCCAATGTTTGTTTTATTGGGTTTGCATGGATTGAGTGGTGTGCTTGCATCGGCATGAAATGAGGATTGTCGTCGTGGCGCGGAGACTTCACTTCTCTCTCTGATCTATCCTGTCTACTCGGGATCAGGTGAAAGGTTGCGCGGTATGACTTGGGGGTCTCCAGGACCGAACGGGTGATCATGTCGGTCTGTCTGTACTTTGTACTATCATGTTCTGTATGTGTATGTGTATATATTAGCCATTGAGTGATACTCCATTTCTTTAGTGCTGGGTCCACCCGCTGTCCTTTGGTAGTAGTTTGGAAGAGCCAAAGAGCGCTTACATGTTGGCCGGATACGGTATCACAAATATGTCTATGTTTACGATAAACTACATCAAGAGAACAATATTGCACTTCTGTAAAATTTCCTCTTGGGAATGTGGTATTGTGGTATTTAAATTTTGTTATATAGGTACATTTAGACAGCGGCACCGGAGATGAAGAACCACTTGTCAACGCTGCCGTCAATGGGGGCAGGGGGGAGGTTCTCGCCCTTGGGGATGGCAGCGAGCTGAGCAGCGTCAGCACGCTCGGCACCCTCAACGGTGGTGGTAGCACTAAATGCAATTAGTATATTATCTTCCTAAGTCAGAAATCAAGGATACTTACACGCTGATCTCACCACGAGGAGACTTGCCGGAGATAAGCTTCTCCCAGGCGTCAGCGCACTCGCGGATGACATCGAGAGCGTACCTATGGGTTGAACTGTTAGCCTGGATACATAATATAAGGCACCGTCAGCACGTACTTCTTGTTCTTGCACTCGCCGGAGAAGGCGAACTGGTTCTCGGGCTTTCCGTCGGGGATCTTGTAGATACGGAACCACTCGTTGGTGGCGCGGAGGAGGCCAGGGAGGTGGCGCTCAACATCCTCAACGTCGTTGAGCTTAGGGGCCAGGGGGTCGTTGACATCGATGACAATGACCTTCCAGTCGGTCTCCTCCTCATCGAGAAGAGCCATCACACCGAGGACCTTAACCTGCTTGACCTGACCGGGGTAGCCGACGAGCTCACCGATCTCGCAAACGTCGAGCGGGTCGTTGTCACCCTTGGCCTTGGTCTCGGGGTGGACGGTGTTGGGGTCTTCCCAGGTCTATGTCAAAGGTCAGTGCGGGGTGGTACAAATTTTGACGTGGCGTTCTTTTACATACCTGGGGGAAGGCACCGTAGTTCCAGAGGTAACCCTTGTGGGGGAAGCAGTTGCGGACGTAGCGGAGCTTGCCCTTCTTCACATCCTGCTTGATGGGGTTGAGGAACTCCTCCTTGGAGATCTGGGTCGCAAAATCAGTATACCGACGTCAAGCTACAGCGTAGGCCCCCCACTTGCAGGGGGGTTGTTGTGTGTATATTGTGGCGTCCGTACCTCCTGCTTGGCGTTGGTCCAGCGGGGGATCTCAACGACCATGTTGAGGATGGTCTGCTGCTCGTTGGCATAGAGGGGGATGTCGTGGAAGGGAGAGACGGGCTGGCCATCCTTCTCAATGTAAACACGGTGCTCCAGGGTGTTGGCCTGGCCGATCTTGCGGACGGTGTAGGACATGGTGGGCGATTGCGGCGGGGCAGCGGAGGTGGAAAAGTGTTTGGATAAAAGGGCAGCACGAGATGAAGCGGACGAAACCGAACGATCAACTCGAGAGGAGGAAGAGGGAGACAAGGCTGGAGCGGAAAGAGAAGAAGAGGAAATAAGAGGAGGGGAGGGAGAGGAAGAGAGAGAGGGAGGAGGAGGGGGGGCTTGCTTGGTGGGGGGAGCCAGCGTTGCGGATGTGCGAAGGACGGGCGAACAGCCAGTACGCGTGAGGATCGGACAGGCGGTGGGTGGCCGGCTCAATGGATTCGAATTCAATGCGCGGCCTCCAACTTGGACTCCCTTGGATACCCTACGGACCCCCGGGAACATTGAAAATGGCTTTGAGGCTATGCCCGTGTGGAATTGGTTCAATTGACAACCGGACAAGGTGGGAATTCGTGCTCGTTGTCCACGGCGAGGTATAAAAGGGGATGGGAATCGATGGAACTGCCACGGTCGGGAAGGAAAATCGGTCGGGAAAAAAGACCCAGCCTCGGGTTCTACTATTCCTTTTTCTTCTTTTTCCTCATGTAATAATTCTCGACTACTATCTGTTCAGCCCGTCCCTAAGTATATCCTCATTAGGAAGTATTTGATGGCTACAGCGAAGGGGAAGCTATTCACACCTCTTCTCCAAGTCACACATGACCAGGCAATATACGTACTCTTTCCCAACTCTAGTTCCAACTAGTCATCAACCTGCTCCCACCCTCCATACCTGGCTGGATGCCCACCAACTTTGAGACTTTCGCCGCAGAATTACTGGTCCTGGATGGGTCTCCACCGCTGATGGCGTCCCACAGTTCTGGCTTGTGCTGTCCCTGAATGGTCTGACTGGTGGGATATTGCGACATTCGTGGTCCCAAGAATCCAGTAGCCAACCGGAGACCTTGCGATGGACTGACTGGTACTGTAGCCAAAGTTGATGACTGAGGTTGCGCAGTTTATACTCTCCAGACTGTAGATCACCTTCCACAACACACGTACAGAGTGTATGCAGGATCGTCTATCATGGCAGTCGAATCTGTCACATCTGTCACTGTCATTGACATTCAGCATATCTCTGCGAGCTTGAACACCTGTCATGTTCACGGCTTGGCAGGTACCCGGACGGAGAGAGACATGCGAAGTAACAATCCATTGTAACCTCACCAGAACCGATCAGGCAAATCCCCATGTGATCAGAAGTGACGGGAACAACCAGAGTCATGGATAAATCTAGAGCTCCGTCTACACTACCAGGGGCCGCAATGAGGTTGTGGCTACTTCTTAAAGGGGTAATATTGCAGTCATCTCCACTGCAAAGGCTCGATCAAACCCTTTCGATATAGGTCACATGATATCAACCGATAGCGTATGGAGTATACCATGGCAGTTTTGGCATTTTGTTTTTCTATAGTATAGCATATCCCTTTCAGAAGCTGATAGTGAGCCTCATAAACCTTGAATAAGGCGCACTTTCCTGCCATCGCCTCTACACTGCACTCCCATCTGTTTCCCGATAGTGCTCTGGTACAGATCACATGACTTGGCAGGGGAAGAAAAAAGTTATCGGGTATCGCCACGTGACCCGGCATTTTTCGTCTCCGCCTCCACCGGCTTTGATCCATCAGCGATCTGGGATGCGACTCGATACATAATATCACTCTACTACACTCCTACGGGCTCATATCGCTCACACAGCTCGTTCATATCCCACACTACACTATCCTTACTACCGTTAACCCGATAATGCTATGCTAAGATTCCTCCGCACCGCAATGGCCTCTATCACCACTCCTCCCCGCGTCCCCATCCCCGCCAACGGGGTCGACTACCGTGGCAAAGTAGTCCTGGCCCCCATGGTGCGCTCCGGCGAATTGCCCTCCCGCCTCATCGCCCTCAAGTACGGCGCTGATCTCGTTTGGGGCCCCGAAACCATCGACCGCGCCATGGCAGGCGCCGTCCGCCGCGTGAACCCCCGCAACGGCACCATCGAATTCACCCGCATGCCCTCCAACGGCGGCCGCACCGAAAAGGCAGGCCAAGAATCCGTGATTTACCGTCTCGACCCCGTCCGCGAGAAGGGCAAGCTCATCTATCAAATCGGCACTGCCACGCCTGAAATCGCCGTCGAAGCAGCCAAACTCGTCGCGGGCGATGTCGCCGGTATCGATGTGAACTCGGGATGTCCGAAGCCCTTCAGCACGAGCGGTGGTATGGGTGCGGCACTTCTCAAGACACCGGATAAATTGGTTGCGATCCTGGAAGCCCTGGTGAAGGAGGTCGGCACGCCGTTCCAGATCGGTATTTCGGTCAAGATCCGTATCTTGAAAGATCCGGAGGAGACGAGGGCTTTGGTGTCGCGACTCGTGAAGACAGGCATTACAGGCTTGACTGTGCATTGTCGGACACCTCCCATGAGGCCCCGTGAACGCGCTATCCGTGACCAGGTGCGCATGATTGCCGACATCTGTCATGAAGCCGGTGTCGCATGCGTTATCAACGGTGATGTAACCTCCAAAGACGAAGGCCACGCCTTGATGAAAGAGTTCGGCGTCGACGGCGCCATGATCGCCACATCCGCAGAAGCAAACCCATCCTGCTTCCGTACCGAAGCTGAGGGCGGTCTTCTCCCTTGGAAGGAGGTCGTTCACGAATACATCAAATTCTGTCTCGAGTCCGAGAACCGCTTCGGCAACTCCAAATACCTCCTCAACATCCTCGTCCCCGGCAAGCTCCAGGAAGGCAAGAACGCTAAGGCAGCCAGATCCTACGCCGACACATGCCATGCCCTCGGCTTCGAGGACCTCCTTCCCCTCGCCATGCACGTGGACGACATCCTCAACCTCACCGACAAGTCAGTTACCACCAAAGACCTCCAGCCCGAACACATCCGCAGCAAGGCCGTTCAGAACGCCATGGAGAACAACGAATCCGCACGGGCTGCTGGCGGTGCCTCTCGCGTCAAGTCCACCTCCCCCGCAGTCAGCGCAGGCGGACCCATGCGCACCAACTCCATCCCAGCTCCTACGAAGACCAAGACTGAGGCGGAGACTCAGGCTGATGTCTCTGTTCCGGCTCCTGATGCTGCGCCCCAGAAGCAGGAGCTGACAGCTTAACTCAACCTGATGCCTCTACGTCACTTGCTTCATTGTCTTGCCTTTATTCTCCTTTCTCTTGGATTTCAAGCTACTATCGCATTATCTGGTGTTAATTATCGGTTCCCCCATTGCTGCATTTCATATAGATTCCCACGGTGTGTTGTTAATAGAGGCTCTCGTGTTCTAGGGATTATACATACATAGTACTACACGAATATATACGAATCCATTAGTTTCCAGCCATTGTCTAGCTGCCAGCTTAGTAGTCCGCATAGTAATCTGTGGAACCACATCCGACCCTTCAGTTAATCAATCAATCGATATATTACTAGTATCAACGCCCACCTATATATGTAGTATGTAGCAGTATGCGTACTGAAGCCAACCACCGAGACACGGGAAGAAGAGTAAAGACACAAAAAAACCCAAACTCCTTTTCTATTATCGAACAGTAGAAGGAAAACGAGAGAACCCAAGACCCAATTGAAGAAAACCCATTTCCTCGGCCCACAAAACCGAAATGTTCGGTGAAACTACTAGCAAAATAACTCTCCGGCTTCTTTTCCGCGTTGTGTAGGTATGTATTTGTGTAAGCACTGCCGCTCTTTGTGGTGATGCTGTAATGTAAGGCAGAATGTAATAGGGTGTGTATGTGTTAGAAGGTGGAAAAGACCGCTGGGAAACACAAGGTAACGGTCACATGCAAGCAAGCAAGCATGGGTTTATCAATCGCTGGTGTATCGTGTATTAGACGGAGGGGTGGAGAACGAAAAGTTGTAGGTTGGATGAAACAAGACAGAAGATAAAATGAGTCAAAATTGCGCCGGTACATGTTTTAAGCTACCACGTAGCATATAGTAGCAAGAGTACAAAATAATGTGTCACGTTTATGCGTCATCGGATTTATCGTGCTGCATGTCCGCAAGAACCATATCCTCGACCACTTTCATGCCTGCGTCTTCGGCCTTCTTGGACTCGGCGCCTTCTTCACCGGCCACGGCTTGGTCGAGCGCAAGCTTGGTTTGTCCGAGAGCGTAGATTTGCTCTTCGATGGTTCCCTTTGTCACAAGACGAATGACTTCCACTTCACGGGTTTGGCCGACACGGTGGGCACGATTCTCGGCCTGGACGTCCTCCTGGGGGTTGAAACTGGAGTCGAAGATAATGACTTTGTTGGCGCAGGCCAAGTTAATGCCTGCACCACCGGCTTTTGTGGAAAGGAGGAAGACGGGGATTTCGGTTCGCTCGTGGAACGCGTCCAGGATGGACTGGCGGTCTTCGACGTTTGTCCTGCCGTCCAGTCGAACGAAGCCGATGTGCTGGTTTTCGAGCACGTGTTCGAGGATATCCATGACTAGTGTGAACTGAGAGAAGACCAAAGCACGGTCGCCGTTCTCCTTGAACCGCTTCAGAAGGTCGCAAAGTTTGTCCACTTTGCCGGAGTCCATCCATTCGTTGTTCTTCAGAGCGAACCTGCCCAGTGAGTGAGGGTGGTCCACACACATGGTGTGGCACTCGAAGTCGTTGTATGCTTGAAGTTCCTCGTATATGATATCCGGGTTTGATAGAGACCATTGCTCCTCCTTGAGACAAGCCTTGGCCATGCGGCTCAGGGTGGAGTTATCGTAGTGACGCCTGTATAGCAGGGGATGGATGGCGGCTTGTCGGAGCTTCATTAGGATGTTGGCAGACTTGTTGCCGGTCTTCTTTCCAGCGGCTCGGTCAGCCAACAGCTTGCGGACCTCCTCTTTCTCATGCTCATAGATCTCGCGTTGCGCAAGGTTCATCTCGCAGTACTCAACATGTGAGATCTTCGCAGGCAAGTCAATGACTTGGTGCTTCTTGCGTCGCAAGACGAAAGGCTTCAGCATGGACTTCGCGCGTTCAATCCGTTGCGCGGAAAGGAGAGCCGAATGCGATTCATCCACGGTCTTTGCTTTGTTCGCAAAGATGTACTGAAGCTCCTCCTTGCGTTCCTGGAACACCTTCGGAAGGATGAAGCCCAGCAACGAGGCTAACTCCTGCAAATTATTCTGCAACGGCGTACCTGTCAACAGAAGTCTGAAACGGGCAGGAATCCTGATAAGCTTCTCGTAGAGCACCGATGTGCTACTCTTAAGCATGTGTCCCTCATCGTAGACGCAGACACAGAAGTCCATGTTGCGGAGGAAGTGGGCATCCACCTTGCCCTTGGCAATCGTGTAAGTGGTGATGATAACGTTGATACTATCTCGGTTGTCTTCAATCGTCTCTCGGATGACTGCCCGCTCTGCCTGACCAGCGTAATAAGGCATGACGGAGAGCGTGGGACAGAACTTCGAGAACTCTCTGAGCCAATTTTCGATCGTAGACGAGGGCACAACAACGAGATGAGGACCCTTGATTCCCTTCTCGAACAAGTGCGCCAAGAAGGCAATGACCTGGCATGTCTTTCCAAGACCCATGTCGTCGGCCAGGATGCAACTCAACTGGTTCTCAAACAGGAGGGACAGCCAATTGATGCCCACGATCTGGTAGTCTTTCATCTTCAAATCATCGCGCATGATCCCGGGCTGAGAGATGAAACGGCCTTTGCGCGGTCCAGGCGCGGGTCCGTCACTATCCTCATCCGAGCGCTGGCTAGCGGGTGTTCCTATCCCGGAATCATGAGACTGAGAGTGGGCATCTCTGGGATTGATGGATACCAGCTCCAGTTCTCCCTCTTTCTTTCCGAAAATGTCCACACCCCATCTCTTCATCTCCGCCGCGACTGGCTTGCCGAGCGCTTCACATTTTGCAACCAAGGAGTCCACCGCCTCGTAACCAACCCACATATCAATGCACTTGTCGACAATCTTGTCGCCGATAGGCTTTGGCGTTTTACGGCCACGGCCGCCCTTAGGCTTCGTCTCTTCTTTCGCCGGAGGAGGAACAGCACGGGCACGGTCGAGCGATGAGAACGGCCGGAAGGATATGACGTGTTTCGCAACGTCTTCAGTAATCGCGGCGATGTCAGCAAGGTCCAAGACGCTGCATTTATTGAAGAAGTTCAAGACTCTTGTCTCCACTTGGCCATCCCCTGCTGATTCCTCCACGCCGGAATCGGAATCCTCGTCTGATATTATCATAGCCTCAGGAGACTCCGAGCGTTGAGGGGAGGCAGGCTTCCGCCCTTGGACTAGACGGCTAGTCTTCTTGGGCGGCGTCTCAGCACGAGGCTCAGAACGAACCGGACTAGGGGAAGACGCCCGAGACTTGGGCCCTCTCATTAAGCGCCTGCGCGGTTTTGCGTCCTCTTCCGCTGGTTGTGACGGTTGCGATTGCTGCTTCTGGGCCGACAATGTCCTCTGCATGTTCATGGCAGACCACTTGTCTTGAATAGTTCCGCGCGCCTTGATCTGCTGCTTCGCGGGCGCAACAGGGGAGGCCCTCTTGCTCGCAATAAGCTCGTCCTCTGAAGATTCAGCCTTCTCCGTATCAGCCAAGTGCTCCAGGGCAGCCTCGTAGTTCCCACGTTTTGAGAGAAGCGCCTGCATGCATGCATGCACAGACTTCTGCGGCATGACCTTCAACATCCTCTCCACCTTAACTCTAACTTGATAGTCATCTATGTCCTGCAGCGAAGAGATGTTCGTACCCACAGGCTGGGCACGCGAGGGGCCATCCTGTCGAACCTTCTTCACGGCCGTGCCTCTGGGAGCGGGGTCCATTTGAGCTGCCGGACGCTTCGCACTAGAAGGATTGAAGACTGCGGATGTGGTGATCTGCTTGAACCGATCCATCGGAGACTCGGCGACCTTTTCAGGGCTGCGCGACGATTTGGCGAACAAAGAGGGTTTAATATCTATGCTTCTCGACGCTCGGTCGTCATCATCAGACGAGCCGCCGCGATAGGTCGGGCCGTCATCTTCAAGATCTATTATGGGCGCACGCTTAGCCGGACCGACAGGAGGGCGAAAGCTGGTGCCAGCCGGGGCCATGGCACTGGAAAGACGACCGCCGTTCGGGGTAGGATGAGAGGGGGAGGAATTCGGACCTGGAGGAGAGGATGCGGCGACCTGAACGAAGGAATTGTTCTTTCCGGAGTAGGGAACGTCCAACACTTGCGTAGGCTGAGTGTAGCGCTGGGTGGCAGGGGTCAAGGATTGAGTTGCGAGTGGCTGGAGATGGCTGACAGGCACGGTGGCAACCGTCTCATATTCTGCTGCATCATCCTTGGTTGGGGTACTGTGAACGACTTTCTTGTCGCTCACGGGCGTATCGGGGACGGTGTCTTCCATGGTCGGTGACTCAAAATTATGTATCAAAGGCAGAAAGGCAGACGAGAGGATGGCGTCATGCCCCGGGGCAAGAGCCAAAGGGAGCACCGAATTGGGGGAACTTGAAAGGAAGATGTCAAGATCAATCGGGGATCCTCTCGAGGCGAAACGATAAATCGACCGCCTGGGATTTTCTCCGCAAAACGCGCCCGGGACGCGCTGGGGTCACGTGGTCTGGCGCTTCAATTAAAGCCGAGGATGGTAGTTGGACGCCAACCCCCTCTTGATCGGGGGATCAGAGCTCCCTCTTTATATGATTCACCGGTACAAGGCTGGTCTCTTCACTAAGGCGATCCTCTTTCCACCGTCTTTGCCTTTTCTTTTGTCACTAAAAACGCAGCCAGATGTCCCCTCTTATATATGGACCAATCAGAGCCCGGCATGGTCTGAACTCCGGAATGAAATCATCCGCTGTATAAAACAATCCATGTCTCTACTTATTTCAAATCCCATCCAGACGAACAGTGTACTCGAGAGAATACTATATATTCTTTTAATAGGATAGAAGAAGCTGTACTTGTCATCACCAATTATATCCTGATCCCTTTTGTCGATCATCCTCCGGCTTTCACGCATTAGTCCCCGGAAAATCAGCACCCAACATCAAACCTGTCAACAGCACAATCACTACCATCATCAACATGGCCACTCGTCGTTCTGCAGAGAAATCTCCTTCTCCCAAGGATGTCGTCGCATCTTCGGGCTCTCCAAAGCCCTCTGACTCAGATGTGACCCCTGCCGTTCCCACGTAGGTGCATCTCATTCGTCCCTCACCAACGAACACTAGGCCACATGGCGGCTATCCTGAACTACCGGTTCAGCCCAACGAACGCATACACCTTATCAATACATATTACGCACATACCACCCCCTCCCTAACTCTAACTAACACATCACTTTCAGAAATGTAATCATGAAACTTCTCGGATTTTCCTTCGCCATGGTCGTCATTCCTATCGGGATGTACTTTGTTACGGTAGACTTTGGAGGTGAGAATCCCATTAACACCCCAGTTACTAATTATCTTCATGTTGATTAACACCTTCGAACAGCAAGCCCCACAGTCGGCGGTATCGTGGCCGCCATAATGGCGAACGTAGTTCTCGTCGCATACATCTATGTTGCGTGGAAGGATGATCAGGCGGAGAGGGAAGCTGACGCCAAGTATAAGGAGAAAAAAGCACAGTAAATGGTACAGCCACACTGTCTTGTTGTCTTTGTTGTTTTCCATTCACTTTATTTCTGGCTTTGGGGGCCCTGTATTGCAGAGATGGCGTTCATGATTCGCTCTGATTTCGCATGCTAGGTATGTACTTGTCATAATGTTTGTTATGGAAGCTATATCGGGATAGTATGTATGTAATGGTTTAGGGAAATACTCTGGGTGTTATAATACCTTCTGGGTTACTCGTTTTGTGATTGGTCACGGTTACCTCAACGCATACTATGCCAACAATAAGGCAGATAACACACAGCCTGAGTGATAGCCTCCTATCTGATTTCAACATTAAGATGAGCCATCCTGGCGAGTGATATGTTCAGGTCAAATTACATATCTGCGCCTTGAAGTGCACAACATCAAGTGCAGATCCGCAGCAAGCATTTCATTATATAATGCAAAGTATGAACAGAAAAGAAGCCCACAAAACCCATAATATGCAATCATGCAACCACTTAATTCGGTCTCCGCTTCACGAACTCAGCCAAATCCGCCTTTGTCGCAACACCCAGTACGAACTTGCGCGAAACATCCGTAACTACAGCGAAATCCTGCTTAGCCCTCTTCTCTCCGTTAGGACCGGTTTCACTCTCGAAGAACTGCTCCAGCTCCTCCAGCGGTGTCTCCATCGTGATGACCTGGTATGTGCCCTTCTTGCGGTTGAATCGCTGCATGGCGGCAGAGACGGGGTCGTTTTCCTTGACAGTGCCTTCCTTGAGAAGCTCCTTTAGTCGGGGGATGCTCAGGTATCCGACCAGAGAGCGTTTCGACGAGGAGGTAACGGTCAGGTGTGTGTAGTCACGTTCGTAAGCGGCCATCAGGGCGGTGGAGATCAGATCGTCGGGGGAAACGGATAGGGCTGGGTTGGGGTCCAGGTCCTCTACTGTCGCCTAGTATGCCGGTGGGATATTAGTTGTTGTTGACTCTTGCGGAACATCACTGGTAAGAAGAGGGCGGACTCACCCCGCGGTATTTGTTTGCCCATGCGGACTGGGCGATGGGTTGCTCTGCATTTTGTGCGAGTTGTTGCTGGGTCAGTGCCTCACTGGCGTTCATATAGGAGGCCATGTTTTCTGGGTTGGTGTGTTGGGGTTGTGTTGGTGAGGGTGGTGGTAGTGGTAGTGTTGGTGATCAACTTATCCCGCAGTGACTCGATGAGGGGCACGGGAGGGAAGGTTCCGAGAGGACGGTCAATTGGGGACCCTTGAAGTTGTCGAGATAGCTTTTGAGGGTTGCGCTCAGTAGTTTAGACGCTACTTTTTGCGGGGAGCAAGTGTTTTAAAGGAATAGAGAGCCGGAGTACTGAGTTACACCCAAAAAGCATCAAGCACAGGTTGAGGTTGCTCCAATCAGATTAAATTTCATCGCTTCAGATCAACCAGTTGACGGGATCCCCGAAAGCGGTTAGTGCCATCACGCGACGTCAGCGGCACCATCACCAACTTGTCAGATACCACTCAGAAGGTTCCTTCGCTTCCTCTCTCTGGAGAATCCTTTTTCGTTGGAATCAAGCTGTCTTCTGAGTTCTGCGTCGATTTCTTCAATCGAAGAAGACGAGACTAGGTGTGGACCTCCGTTCTATACATCGTCATTCGTCCGACTATACTGCCGATATAGTGTTGTAAGTGGACCCGCTTGTATAGATAAGGAACCATCGCGATGCGATATTGCCATTATACTTTATCGCAACCTGTTTGGATACGCTTTAACACAGAACATAATAATTCTAGGTAAAAGCCCTCATAATGTTTCCATCTGAAGGGGATATTGCTCGCGCTTTCGCTTCCCAAAGCCCTCTGGGCCAGTCTCAGCAGACCCAACAGCCGGAAGCTGCGGGCTTGAAGAGACGCCAGCCGTTCCCCGCCTGGAACGTTGTCGAGGACATCGAAAAGAAGGCCGATGCTATCGCTAAGGAAGCGAGCCGAGAGTTCGATATTGCGAGTCAGAAAGCTCAAGCCAAGACCGGCAAGATTGAGCCATGGACTCCTAAGTACTATGCTGCTTGCACGGTTGGAGGAATGCTTGCTTGCGTAAGTAGATGTTCCATTCTGCTAGTGAGCGCTGTATAGTGGCTTATGAATACTAATTCTTGGCTGGTCCTAGGGTCTCACCCACACCGCTGTGACGCCTCTGGATTTGATCAAATGCCGCCGTCAGGTCGATCCTCTGCTGTACAAGAGTAATGCAGAGGCATTCCGTACAATTCGCGGTGCAGAGGGTCTCCGCGGTGTTTTCACCGGTTGGGGTCCCACTTTCTTTGGATACAGTGTAAGTCAAGACTGGATCGCATGCGTTGCGCCATCTAATTGAATACAAGGCCCAAGGAGCGTTCAAATATGGTGGTTATGAGTTCTTCAAGAAGTTTTACAGCGACCTTGTCGGGGCTGAGAACGCAGCACGGTGGAAGACATCTCTGTACTTGACCGCCAGTGCGTCGGCGGAGCTTATCGCTGATGTCGCCCTGTGTCCGTTCGAGGCCGTCAAGGTGCGCATGCAGACGACTATCCCACCTGATATTCGATCAACATTTACTGGTATCTCTAGCGTGGTTAATAAGGAAGGTGTGGCCGGGTAAGTGCTGCTAATGCGAGCAGTCGATCCCTAGTAGCTGACTGCAGCAGCCTGTACAAGGGCCTCTACCCTCTCTGGGGTCGACAGATCCCTTACACCATGATGAAGTTTGCGTCTTTCGAAACAATCGTCGAGATGATCTATAACTCCCTGCCGGGTCAAAAGTCTGACTACAACAAGGGTGCGCAGACTGCTGTTGCCTTCACCGGTGGTTACCTGGCTGGTATCCTTTGCGCCGTCGTGTCGCACCCAGCAGATGTCATGGTCAGTAAGTTGAATGCGAACCGCCAGGCCGGAGAGGCATTTGGAGCGGCGATGAGCCGGATCTACAAGGACATTGGCTTCGGAGGTCTCTGGAACGGCCTTCCCGTCCGTATCGTCATGATCGGCACCTTGGTAAGTGCATTGGTATATGTTTCTCAGACAATGACTAACTGTTATCTCCTCTAGACCGGACTGCAGTGGATGATGTATGTGTTACTTCAGATCTCCAGTATGCCCCTCTTAATAGACAGCGGCTGACGTTCTGCAGTTACGACTCGTTCAAGATCTTCATGGGTCTTCCCACGACTGGCGGTGGCCCTCCTGCAGAGAAGAAGTAATATGGAAATGGTTGTCCCGCCGAGAGCTTAGATCCTTGTCTAACAAGAAGGGTCGGACACTCTGTAGAATGTAGAATACAGTGGCCGTGGTATGAAGGCGGGGTGTGGGGTTGTACCGTACCTGATTTCTTCGTGCAGCTTTCTTCCGATTTAATCGAGTGGGTAGTTTACTTACTAGTTTTCTTTGTGAAATGATGAACCACTTTTGTCTATTCATGAACCACATTTAATTGAACCCTGAGCCGAGGCCGGTGATAAAAGCAGCTGAACTGATAACCCTTAACTGGTAGAGATAACATGAAGCTACTTATTTCTTAGTAACAATTGGCGGGCCCCAAAATCGTTAGTCACGCCTCGGACCAATCCGGACAAGCATCTTATCAGCGCATCGACGTCATCGGACGCCGTCCCGATCGTTTCCTTCTTTTGGTTCCTTCGATAACAAATGGATCATCTAGATATATCCCGATAATGATATTCACTGAATTAGCTACTAGACTAGAACTTCCGGCAAATTTAACTTTGACTGCCAGGGCGCACCCTTTGGCTTGGCCCGCTGTGGCAGTGATTGCGCCCAAAAAAAGCGCTAAGGTAGTCACGCTACACCCAACTACTAACCCCTGTGGTACATAATATATCTATACGAACCATCCCCGGGAACCGCCACTTTGCGCTCTTTCTCTTTCCCACTTTACTGCCTGACTAGACTCGGTACACACACGCGCTCGTCGCAGACTCTTGATTACAGCGTTCTTATCATCGCATTGAATCACTACACCGATTTAGTACACAACACCACTCGAACAAAAACTACTACTACTCACCCCAATCACTGCACCACCATGGGCGAACACGAACCTATTGTGTCGCACGGCCGTGGAGGTAAGTACACTACAATAATCCCATACAATCAACAGATCTCTAACATTCACTCTCCCCAAACAAACAGGCCAAGGAAACATTGGCGCCGACTCCACCGAGTATGCATTATACCCATTCACCCACCCCTCCAATCCACCCCACCCACCACCACAAAACCCAGATACTAATCATATATAAAGATACGTCGACGGCGGCATAGTCCGCGAAGGAGTCTACGGTGACCAAGGCGACGGCGCCTACTCAGCCGGCGTAAGCCCTCCATCCCCACCATACATCAATCCATCCTACCTGTCTCACAATTAAACCACCAATATACTAACTAACATTTTGATTTGGATGTATAGAGAGGCGGCGCCGGCAACATCGGCTCCCCGCACGTACGCCCAACATCCAAGATCCCGCACGACGCGGAGATAGTTCCCGAATTGGCGATTCGGCAGTCTGTTGATGGGGATTATCATACTGGGGTATGTTTATATCCCTTTCATCCCCTCTTTCTATTTACGCAGGGAATGAATGCTAATGAGTGGTGGTGGTGGTGCGATAGCGCGGCGGCCAAGGCAACGTGCACCTCGACGAAGAACATAAGAAGGAAAAGGAGGAGAAGAAGCATAAGGGGCCTGCGCATGAGGGGTTGGCGGACAAGTTGAAGCATAAGTTGTTTGGGAGGAAGTAGATCACCTTTTTTGGACTTCTGGGTGTGGATGGGTGGGAGTTGAATGGTTGTGGTTGTTGGTGAGGGGTGGCGGGGTGTTCTATTGTTATTGTTGTTGCGCTTGATTTGAGATTCCCTGTTGTTTATTTTGTTTTATGCTGCTGATTGCTAGAAGTAATAAATCTTTCTTTGGTTCTTCTGTCATGTGGGTCCTTTTTATTTTCTTTTCTTTCAATGGACATAGTTATTTCAGAATACTTCCAGTATTCTGACTGACAAGTACGATTGATATATACTGGTCATTACTGAGTATCTATTCTGTATTTGACAGCAAGTATGAAGGTATTCATAACCCTTTTTCAGTCACACTACCCTACCATTACTCACAACTTCACCCGTATCAATCAACATCATACTGGCTAGTATCTCATGCACTGTCATGGCAGAGAAAGGAAAAGGTAAGGAGGAGCAAGAAAAAAAAAAAAGCATCCATGTATCATGGTCTCGTCAACCGCATGCAAAGATGAAAGAGTAAAATAAAGTGCAATCGAATCCAAACCCGACACAGTCCGTCCCGAAATCCCAGTTGCTGTGCTTGAACATGACTCTTGAACGCCGCGGAGGTAGTACACCCAGACAAATCGGATCAGAAAACACGCATCGAATAGTAAGAGTAAGGTAAGAAGATGTGAGGAGCCGGCTCACAGACGACTAGTTCTTGCTGAAACGACGCTTGAACCAGCCCTTTTTCTTCGAGTCGTTGCTCATTTCAGAGTCATTCGTAGCCTTGCGCAGGTGACGCCGGTTGGCTGTGGCAGCGACGGCGGCACCGCCGCCAACAGGGCCACCAGCGTTGGGGTCAGCCGCTGGCGGTTTGCTACCAAAGTTGATCCGTCCACCAGCGCCAGCTTGTCCGTTCAGATTCGGCCCGGCGCCAAATCCTTGGAACCCATAGTTTTCGGCCATCTGCTGCTGCTGCTGTTGCTGCTGTTGGAACTGATCGATAGAGCTGTTCACAGAGCTGGGGTCGGTGGAGTTGCCGTAAGCGTCGGTGTTGCTGCCAGAGCCCGAGCCAGACGCTGCGGTCATGTTGTCATATGATTTGTGATAGCCGTGTTGTGAATATCCACTTTGGTCGGTGTTCATCCGTGCATGGTGGCGTGGTCGCGGTCGGCCGCCGCCCTGATTGTAGGGGTAATAGTTGTCGGACTGGCCGTTACCATTCTCGACATAGCTGTCCGGTCGCGAATAGGCCCCGCGACCATTGTAATGGCCGCCCTGATCATAGTGACCCCGGTGCGAATGACCGTTTTGAGCTATACCAATCCTTCAAGTTAGCGAGACGTTCTCTCTCGAATGTTACAATGGACATTGCGACTGTATCCCAAGACGCAATGCTTGTGGGATTGAGAAATACCTCCAAAGTAGCTTCCCCGCCGACTGTGGTCTGGCCCCGGAGTTGCAGGAGTCGATTCTGTAATGCATCATCAATCAACCGCCGGGTCGAGCAAACCGGAGTAAGGGGTGACTCACCTGTCCTTACATACGAAGCAGGCCTACTGCTGTATGTCCCATAGATTGCCGCCTCAAAAGATCGGATGGTTTCAAGCGGACGTTCAAACCTCGGGCGCGTGGGGTTGGAGAGATCGGGATCAGCTGTGAGGGAAGGGGAGAGTAAATTAGCAAGATGATACCCATAACATATGTCCAATCAAGGAAGCATGGTAGACGTACTGATAATATTTCCATACTGATCTTTATGCTGCATGGTCCGTAACGAACCCAGCGTCGACTGCTCGAGAGCAACCAAATCTGGGGAAACGAGTCAGTTTGTATGCTTGTGGGAAGTAAATGTTGCAAATTGAAGGCAGCATAATGAGGATGGAAGGATTGGGTTGTTTTGTTATGGCAGACCCGAAATCCAGGAGTGCAATAGGCAGAGAGATAAGGGGTGAGTGTTCCGGATACGTACTAGGTTGCGCTTCGCTCATAGCAACCATGGGATCGGCTTTGGAATGTAGTTGGCGGCGATGTTTCTCGTCTGAGGATTCCGATATCTGGGGTCTTTTGCTGGAATTGCTGGACCGTTGCGACCGATCCGACTTTGCACCCAAACTGAAGCCACGAGATTGCCTGCCAGGAGGCACGGCCGGCTGGGAGGTCGCCATTTTATTTATCACCCCGTCGACCTTAGCGCCTGATAACCAACAGCTGGAGCAGGTTTTCGCAGGACGCTGTCTAAGCTATGGCGCCCGTTGTGGAGCGCAAGCACGATCCGGTGTGGGAACCGCCAAGGAATGTATGATGATCGCGCGCGATGATTCTCGGGCTTTTTGAGCGTGGTTTCAGAATGCAGCCAGGAGGCAGCCAACGAAACTAAGCAGCGCAGGCAACGTGGGGTGCTGCTTTTTTGATGGATCCACGAGCGGATAATCACTTGGATGTCTGATGTCTGTCCCAATATTCTGGGGAAAGTCTAAAGCACCGAAAAGTGTGGAAATGTCGCCAAAAGTTGGAAGTAGTATCAACTCCGCAATTTGTCTCTACACACAAAGATCCACGCCGTTTTAAAAGAATAATCAAAGTGACACCGAAGGTGGGGAAGTGTGGTAGGCTTGAAGCACAGCTGTATGTAGTAGTGTATCGTCCGATCAAATCGACCGACCAGAGCGTCCGTAGGTTAAGCGATAGTGACTGCAAGAAGGTGGTCCATCCGCAGTGCGCTCAAAGTGATCGACAGTAAGGAAGATGCGATAGCCTCAAGCTAGAGATGCCAAGACAGTAGGTTAGTAGGGAAGAATGTAGGTACTATGTAGGAACGATGAAGATGGTGATGGAAAGTAGTAGGAAGCGAGTGAGCAAGCCAGCAAGAAAGCACCACTCCAGTCGACCGTGCAGATGGAAGAGGAGAAAGTACAAACGAACGTGTGGAAAAGAAAAGCAGGTGGCAGTCGGCAACCAACAAGTACTGAACTACTACTAGAGAGAATTGGGGAGGGCCATTGAGGCCTTTTGACTTGTACGGGCCGGTGGTATTGACGACAGGCGCCACGCAATGAAGAGGGGAACGCTTGTTCGAACCGATGGATGGACGATTGCAAGTCGTCCTATCAGCTCGGGTTGGACGATGGCGTTATACTCAAGAGCCACTCGGCCAGAAGAATCTAGACGATCACCGGATGCCTGGAAACTTTCCCTGATGTTTGCCCGTTCACTGTCCGGAGATCCTCTTCCCATGGAACTTTCCTCTTTTTCCTCTTTCAAGTTTTTATCCCTCCCGTTTCTCTCCTGGAAGTCAATTCATTCCTAAGAAAACAAATGACAAATACGCATTGCATTGAATTCGACAAAATATCTTCATCTTCATTCCTCCATCTGTCATGCCCAGCATTTCCCCACCAAGTTCAAGGCAGCGGGAAAAGTAAATCCAGTACCAGCTCGACTGGAAATAGAATTACCCTCGTTACCGTATCTTGGCTGGTGAGCACAAAAAAAGAATAAAAAGACCAAATGCATAAAAAATACCGATAGTGTTACGCAGCTTTCCCCTCTTCTCGTTGCCTGCCGGCCAATCACTCGTTGTGGGATGGCCCAGCCACCCAGCGAACTCTTTCTGGTTGGCTTCCTTTCCATGGACCATCTGTCACCGTCTCAGGCACCATACCCGAAAGGAAAAGGAAACATAGTAACTGAAGAACAGAAAACAAAAAAAAAAAGTAAGCAAAAGATTTTGGTACTTAGAAAAGCATGGAATTTGTTGTGTGTGCGATGACTGCGATGACTTGTCGACCAGGATGTGCTGTCGCAAATCCCATGTCACCAGCCATCTCTTCCCGTCTGATCGTCCTGCTTGCACAATCGGAAGAAATCAAGCAGACTTCAGCCCATCGCACAGATCGGCTGCCGTCGACATCATCCATGCCCAAAAACTGGGCCAGGCAGCCCAGGCAAGCCACTCCGCAGTTCTGATACTTTTTTACTATCTTGACTATCTTTTCACTTCCGGGTGGATTATCCCGGCCGTTGATTTCCTATTTTTACTCGGAATACACCAAAATGGTTTAGTTGATGGTAAGATTAGCCGGTACGGTCAGATACGAGAATACGACTTTGAATCTCACCCACCGAGACGGTGGCATATCACTACTTACTCTTAAAATCTTTATCCAGATTCTCTCTAGCTGCACCAGGGAAGCACACCTTCTGCTATCCGTGGCCTTCCAATTGGCCCACCAGCACCGCAGAATGAAACCTGAAATATGTCTGCCTGTCTCAATTGCCCCTCCACTCTGCTGAGCGGCGGCGTTACATGTCTGACTATGGCGGTCGTTCCAGTCCAATCCCATCCATTCAGTCCGCCAGACTGCCTTCCACACTGAGACAACTAACCGCCCTTTTCAGGTTGGCAGTCGCTCTTGGCTCTGCACACCTGGCAGGCTCATACTCACTTAGGCCTGCAGACTTACAGGAAATAAAAATAGCCCATGCATCCCCGAAATTAAGAAGATCGATGCATACACGCTTGAATGTTGCTGGAATTATTTAATCGACTTAGAGTCGCACACGTTGCGATCAAGCAAGGTACCTCCAGCAAGGAACAAAACTCGAAGGAGGATCTTGGCTCAAACTCGCACAAGTGCAAGCAATCTGTAAGCCAACCTCTTAGTAACCTACAATCTACTCCATACTATGTAAGAATTCTATCATTCCGGCCGAGGCGATCTGTCGATCCCCATCAGTTCTTGTAAGTGGGTCATTGGGGGCGGGGATGGCGCCTACTTTAATTACTGTTAATTCGGGATCGTGACAGAATCTCCATGCAAGGAGTTTGCCCTTCCAGAACTTCCCTCCTTCAGCCTTATTCACCGCGCTGCGGAGATAGCTCGCGCATTTAGGAGCTAAGCTTCTGATATCATATTCAAGGACCCAGAGGCATACTGTGGCGTCCTTCATTTGTTGAAGGGCCACTGATTTGACGGAACCCAACCCGGATATATATCGTGGGGTGGGTGCATTCCAGAACGAGTCAGAATAACTTCAATGGTTCGATCAGACCAATCACGACTAAAAGCTGGGTCCCGAGAGTGCTATCGGCATACTGACATGCTAATAATCCAAGTACAATGGACATCTTTGCTAGAGATTGTTCATGTTTTTGCATGGATGGCAGTCATCCCAGCCAGCATTAGCGTTATCTGATCAATTAGCATGAGACCGCTGTTTCACCATTACTTTTGACTGCACACAATGCATTCTGTGACATTTCCCAGTCTGAGCGCAGTTCCAGGCTAGGCTCTTTCAAGCCCAGCCAAGCCACATACAGTTTAATTCATGAATGCAGAATTCATACAGTTCATAATGTCCCCTCGTCATCAGCACATGAGACTTGACCTACTTGTAAACCATATAACACACTCATCAGCAGCGGTCACAGGGGCTGCCATAGTCCTACTCACCTTCGAATTGGCATAATATGCTCCTATCCATATCTGATTCCGTTACACGTGGGAAATAGTATTTTAGTTCACCTAGATACCTGCAGCTGTCCTATGCAAAATATCATCCCCAGAATAAACATGTCCACATATGATCGCTCCCCTTATAGCAGCTACAACTTTACACTAGCATTCTTAAGCTACTATTATATTAGTACATGCATATTGCTCCAAGATTATGCCCTCGCAGTTCATTGCATGCTAGCATGAATCCCTACTAGCACATTCAGTTCTAGTCCCATACCGCCCAGCTTTACTTTCAGAATATATCTCCACCACTTAGTACTTGCACTTAAGTGGTACTAATTCCCATTCCACTCCTCTCATCGATACCATCCATAGTGAATCAAGGCTTCTAAAAATATCAAATGCCAAATAGCTAGGACAGAGAAACCTAACCGCCAAATTTTAGTTTATCACAGCGGCCCCAACAAGTACTACCGAAGAACATTGCCTAAGGCAGCTCGATTTTCAAAGACATTGACGATTAGCTACCAGTAGATACTCGTTAATATATCTATTCATTTTTAGAGGTCAAACCGGTGTATTTAGGGCTATATTCTCAATATACCTGATGTGTGAGATTTGAAGAAAATTGTCTTTTATCTCTATCCTTCGTGTGATAATAATGCAATACACCTTAACCTGGCTCTCCATATCCATAACGCTTACAACTAGTAGCACCATAGGTGTTGTCTGTTTATAGTATCGACCAACGATGAGAAAAATGCAATGTTTGATAGAGTTGATGGAAATACGAGAGCTCGCTCTAGCCATGGCGTAGCTAACTGCGGCTTAATGTCTCAGTTCGATTACTAGTGAGGGTCACTTTTATTTCTGGTCTTGGTATAGAACTCCAGCTTAGAATTGATAATATCATGGCGAGAAAGAGAATAGCGTGTATTGCCGCATTGAATAAGCAATATACCTGTGGTAACTGAGAGATTGACGCATAGCACTCCGTATTGGTCATCGTCTTTATCTATGATCATGAGTGGGGTCTACGATGACAGGTGTGGGTAATCATGCTCCGGAGATCTGATGCCTATTACGTAGGGTTGTTGGCGGTTGGCTTTTTGAGGACTAGATCTTGGGCATGACTGTTGCAGCGCCAGCATTTGACCGGAATCATTATGTCGGATACAATGTCAAAATCATGCTAGAGTGTCGATTAATGGGAAAAGACAGGGTTTGCTGTGGCAGTTGTCGCTTTGGGTTGGATATCGCTTGTTGTCGACTTGCAGACAAATTCCATAAGAAATTACCACCGAACTAGTATCCACCCCGCTGATACTACCCTCCAAAAGAAGCAATTGTACCGATATGTTGAAATGGTATGGATTGTGGTTTATGAGCATCAGATACACGGGGAGCCATGTTGTCGGCCCAAAAGACACAGCATGCTTGGCCGGTTTGAATATAGGAGTATAAAAAAACCAGGGATATCAAGCTCGTCCGTTGCCTTAGGGGGAAAAAGGGCTGACAATAACCATGCTGAAAAAAAGAAGATAAGAGTTCTTTTATTTTAATTCGTAGGGCTGACCGGCCCTGCCTCTCCCACGAACATTATCAACCCGCCAACTCCATCTCAACTTTCGGCTCATTCCGTCGACTCCTTGCCCGACCGTCTGCGCGTAGAATCCGGAGTTGCCAACTAACGTAACAAAAGGGGCGTCATTTAGATGTTGGAGGGGTACAGCATAACACGGACGGTAGCACCGAAGGTCTTGGGGGGGAGGTTGTGGCGGAACTGAGCACGGACAACACCGGAGTTACCTGTTCATGAGGGAAGTATTGTTAGTTTCCAACGTTCCCGGTTCCAGCAATCACCGATAACATATAGACAGGTATATATATTCCGTGGCAATCGTCGCGCAATGGAGCTGTGCATCACATACCGTGGGGACGGGTAACCTTGCCCCAGATGACCCGGATGTTGGAGCCCCGGACCTCACGCTTGGCCCGGTAGACGAAAGCAACCTTCTTGCCCAGGTAGAAGCTGTAAAAAATCCCGTCTTAGCTGTGTGTTCTGATATTTCGATCCCGGACCCATTCGCTACTCACTTTGCGGCCTCAGTGCTCTCAACACCGTCGATCTTGATCAGACTAGATAACCCATGTGTCAGATTCCCTTGTTCCTCTATATCGATATCGGTGCGGATCGCAAGTACCTGGTGTTGGGGTTGACGGTACGCTTGGAGCGCTGGTAGCTCACGTGGCGACCCCTGTAGAAAGAATTCGTATTAACCGGTCTGTTCTCGTTGCATTCCATCGCTTGGCCCGTATCTCTGATGTTCCGACATGGATCTTGATATTTTTGATATTCATATCCGGAATGTGCGCGAATTCGACGGCGGACGGTTTGTGGTGAACTTACTTGACATAGACTATAATTCGCAAAAATATTCAGTTAGCATTTCATTCAGCATTTCGCCCAATATGCGCCCGCATATCCCCATCTATCCTTCTCCATCCCATATTCCAACCATCGCGCACACATATCTGATATCCGGAAAATGATGGCACTCACGTCTGTGACCTTGTTCCGAAGGCATTCTGACGGCGTTTCTCTGAGCAGCAGCGGGCAACGCAAAAAGTCGAAGGAAGGGAGGTATGACCCGCAAAAGTCGTCCGGGTTGTCGTGGTTGTCGTCGCTTCGATAGGGTAACGGGACAACGCACAAGGCTCACAAATTGCGAGGTGTGTTCGGTGCGGCTCGCCCTAACCCCAAACGGGACGCTTAGCGAGCCGGACCACCCCAGGGCAAGCCGAAGTCCCGTGATGGGGAAGAGTTGCAGACCGCCTACGGGACACTAAACCGTCTTGGGATCGTCACCGGATAAATAGCTTCTCCATGCATCCGAGATAGATCATCATCGATTGCAGACCTTTGGGGCTCCTCCATCCCAACCCACCCCACCTGGCCAATTTTGCCGTCCGGGCTACTGTAGTCCGAAGACTCCTGGCTACCCGCCGGTCCCCTCTGCTGCAGCGGAGAGAGCTTTTGGCTAGAGCGCCCCAAGCTGACAAAACAGCTTGCGGATTCTTTTCCACCCATGACGGCAACTGCCCCATCACCCTTGATCTTGATAAGGGATTGGCCTCCTATCGCCGGGGTGGCGGCCTGTTGCAGGAGCTCCCCGTTTAATGGACAAGGAGTTTATCTTGTGACTTTCGAGTAAGCGTGAAGTAGCTGCATGACAGCATGGCGCTTAAACTACCTCTTACAGAGTAGTGCAGCAGAGTTGTACGGGTGTATGACTGGCTGTATATAACGGGGGAGGATGACTCCTCCAGAAGCGATCAGACCGGGATACATATTTGGAAATCAAGCGTCCCCTCCAGCCCCACCAGGAAGTCGGCAACGAACCTGACATGATGTTTCTCTCCTGAGGGGGGGACCCCCATAGAGCACGCAATACCATCAATGCCTCTATTTTCTTTCACAAGAAAGAAAGAGGGGTAAAATATTGATGGGGTGGTACCAGGGGAAATGGTGACGACAGTAATGTGCCATCGATACGAGGGTTCTGGTGTCGTGGGAATAAGCAACAATAGGCAGTGCATGCTGAGAACAATACTCCGTAGATACTCCAGCCTCCCCGTTTCGGGATCGCACCCGTTAACTCCGGACTTGACTGGGCCGAAAGTTCGGTTTGATACATGGTCGCTGCGCTTACTTCACGGGAAAATAGAATCCGTATCGTCCTTCCAGATGACAAATTGGCCGATCCAACCCCACGAAGCTGGTCACCGGAGACGCGGATTCAGGAGTCTTTCCACTAGACTGGTGTGATTGTTCTGGCGCGATCGCTGTTATTCATCCTGTGGAATAGTCCGAAATCGCTCCATTATTTTGAGATCTTGTCTGGGTCACACCCTGGGAATCTGCGCAACGGTGCTCTTGCTTCACCTATTGTAGTTGAAAGTGGATTAGTGCTAAGTAGATTGACACTGCATTACTTACGGAGCCAACCTTGGAAGGTGATCTAAATTCTAATAAATGGGTGCTATGACCGGAATGCATGGAACTATCGTTATCACAAAGAAGCCAGGTCCTGAGCTGACTGACCTACCTGCATGAATGGGCTGGGGGGCTGCTCCACAATTTGCCCAGTAAACTCGAGGTGCGCGTGCCCCGCGCATATACCAATGTAGTACAGCGTCAGACCGCAAGAATCTCGGCACCTTTACATTTGCGGCTTTCCCTTTGTCTTCAATTCAAGAGGATGAAGTTGTCAGATCAGGGTCGGAGGGTTAATATTACTGGGATAAGCTGACGCGGGGGGTGGTTCCGCATGCAACAGTAAGGTGTACCTTAAGATGGGCATCATCCGTTCCATGTGTGGTTCTCAGTGGAGCTGGGAGGAGATTTACAGCGGACCTGGCTCGGATAAATCAGTCCGTCTAAAAGAGAAGGGGCTGTTAGTCTAAACGATGATGTTTCTGAGGGACAGATAGAGTAAGTCAAGTGGGGGATGCTTCATCGTAAGTATTGATTTAGAGATATCTAGATATGCAAGTGGTAGATAAGAGAGAACGGACTCATCGCGTTACCTAGCGATGATATAAGAGACGGATTGCCACAACGGCTTCGGGTGAGAGAAAAAGAAAGAGAGAGTGCAGTATGAGTGGGAACGGAGAACCTGACAATTAGGGGAAGAATGGATGCTAGGGATAAAAAAGGAAGCATTTCCCGGGAGTAATCATACCAAGGAAATACTGAAGGAGTTAATTATCTACTACTCCGTGGCAGGCGAATAAGTAAGTAAGTAGTGTCTGAGTGATGTAAAATAACCCCGAATAATAGAATTGGATAACAACTTAACTACTCACGGGGTCCCGCGGCAGTAATCGACGTAGTGGAAGAACCCAAGCCGGGCTTCCCAGTAACAAAGTAGTAACAAAGCTGCCCCACCCGGGCTCACTCACTTTTGCCCACCCTGCAGCAGAGCAGCTCCTCTCCTCGACGAGAGGCCCTCCTCCGGTCTTAAAAAGTACTTGCTCCGCCGGAACTGTTGGGATTTTTCCAACAAACCTCTCTGTCCTTGCTGTCTCCCTGTATCCTCTTTTCATTTCCTCTCCTCCCTCTTCCACCGATTCTCTCACATTCCCCTTCCCATCTCGTGGTTGTTCACACATCAATAAAACATGGCCAGCACAATAGCACGTACTGAGGAACGCCAGAATGCTGGGTGAGTTTTGCGGTCTCCCTCTCTGACATCACACCCCTCCTCCCTCCCACTCCCGTCCCTCCTGTCCGCCGCCCAAACGTGAGGATTCACCACCCACTACTCTCCATTACAAGCCGGTCGCCCAATATTCACTAGCAGGCTTCCCGCTTTCCATTGTTCTTCAATTCGTCACCAAGATTACTCTTTTGGTCTTGACAACGATAGGACTGTCCTTCTGACTCACCATCAACCTCACTGCCCCTCCCGGCTGTAGCGGACTGCGGGCACCGACCTGCATTATCGATCTACACACGATTCCCTGTGGCACTATAATTGTCAAGCTATAGTCTAGCTAACATGGATATTTTACGTAGCACCATGGAACTCAAAGATGACACTGTCATCATAGTACTGGGTGCCTCCGGAGATCTTGCAAAGAAGAAGACCGTCAGTGATGACCCCCCCCCTGATTTTATGTCGACCGCATAGGAAGCTAACTTCTTACAGTTCCCGGCACTTTTCGGCCTTGTATGTCCACTTACAGATCCAATTGCAGTTTGACTTACACCAGTATGGTTACTGATTGCGCTTCCAGTATCGCAACAAGTTCCTCCCCAAGGGTATCAAGATCGTCGGATATGCCCGGACAAACATGGACCATGAGGAGTACCTGAGGCGTGTGCGCTCATACATCAAGACCCCCACCAAGGAAATCGAAGAGCAGCTGGACAGCTTCTGCCAGCTCTGCACCTACATCTCCGGTCAATACGACAAGGATGACTCGTTCATCAACCTCAACAAGCACCTCGAGGAGATTGAGAAGGGCCAGAAGGAGCAGAACAGAATCTACTACATGGCCCTCCCCCCTAGCGTTTTCACCACCGTTTCCGACCAACTCAAGCGCAACTGCTACCCCAAGAACGGCGTTGCTCGTATCATCGTGAGTCAATCCTGGGCTGTTATTACTCTGCAATTGGCAATTGTTCTTACTCGCTTGTTTTCCTATTTCGCAGGTAGAGAAGCCTTTCGGCAAGGACCTTCAGAGCTCGCGCGATCTCCAAAAGGCTCTGGAGCCTAACTGGAAGGAAGAGGAGATCTTCCGTATCGACCACTACCTGGGTAAGGAGATGGTCAAGAACATCCTTATCATGCGCTTCGGAAACGAATTCTTCAACGCCACCTGGAACCGCCACCACATCGATAACGTTCAGGTACGAATTTGCGCTGTCCAGTTGACTTTCTGAACAATGGCTAAATTGTCGCCTTTATGATTAGATCACATTCAAGGAGCCCTTCGGTACTGAGGGACGTGGTGGTTACTTCGATGAGTTCGGCATCATCCGTGATGTCATGCAGAACCGTACGTTCGAGTCCTCATTGGGAATACCCGTCATGATACTGATAAAAAAACTCTTTCAGACCTTCTCCAGGTGTTGACGCTGCTCGCTATGGAGCGCCCCATTTCCTTCTCCGCTGAGGACATCCGTGACGAGAAGGTAAAGTGTGCGATTGGCTATCGGTTGAGCGAGGTTACTAATACTTGACCAGGTTCGTGTCCTGCGTGCGATGGACGCCATTGAGCCCAAGAACGTCATCATTGGCCAGTACGGAAAGTCTCTCGATGGCAGCAAGCCCGCCTACAAGGAGGATGAGACCGTTCCCCAAGATTCCCGCTGCCCCACCTTCTGCGCTATGGTCGCCTACATCAAGAACGAGAGGTGGGACGGTGTTCCCTTCATCATGAAGGCTGGCAAGGGTATGTACCTCTTTCCGAGCGATCTTAGCAACGGCGGGTATACTAACTATTCGCAGCCTTGAATGAGCAGAAGACCGAGATCCGCATCCAGTTCCGTGACGTTACCTCCGGAATCTTCAAGGACATCCCCCGTAACGAGCTCGTCATCCGCGTCCAGCCCAACGAGTCCGTGTACATCAAGATGAACTCCAAGCTGCCTGGCCTGTCCATGCAGACGGTTGTGACTGAGCTCGACCTCACTTACCGCCGCCGCTTCTCCGACCTCAAGATCCCCGAGGCCTACGAGTCTCTGATTCTGGATGCTCTGAAGGGCGACCACTCCAACTTCGTCCGTGACGATGAGCTGGATGCCAGCTGGAGGATCTTCACCCCTCTCCTGCACTACCTGGATGACAACAAGGAGATCATCCCCATGGAATACCCCTACGGTACGTGCACATGTTGAAAATTTGATTAAACCGCTTACATGCTGACGAACGGCGTGCGCAGGCTCCCGCGGACCCGCTGTCCTTGATGACTTCACCGCGTCCTTCGGCTACAAGTTCAGCGATGCTGCTGGCTACCAGTGGCCCTTGACTTCCACCCCCAACCGCCTGTAGATAAGGGCGGTCGGCGTGTTACGATGGATGAAGATGAAAAAAAAAAAAAGAAATTGCCGAAAAAGGCTAAAAAAAGATGTTAATGCGATTGATTTTCGGTCGAAAATCATGGTATGACGGGGCATCTGGGATGATATGACAGAAATGAAGCACTCGGGACTATTTATCGGTCGGCTGGGCAATGACTGGAGTTATCTATTCGCAACCCCTTTTTAGAAACGAATGCAGAGAACGTAACGAACCACCCCCGGTCGGTTGGGACCGCCACTGGCTTCACCGGAAGCTGGAAGTAGTCGCGTGACAGTAGCAAGACGGTACCTGTATTATTGACCCTTGCCTGGTGCCTTAGTCCTTGTGTGCCTCGTAGAATTAGGTTAGAAAAGACAGTCAGACTAACCCATAGACTTCCCCAGTTTCAGATTTGTTTTAATCCCCCGACCTTGCTTTAGGTTGTTCACACCACCCGCTATTAATAAACACAAGTACCGTCGCGGTGGTGGGTCTCAGCGTGGCCGGTGCCGATAAGACGAGGTACCTGACGGGCCGGGGGCCCGCATGCGTACGCTTTTGGTGGGCTCAGCCCGGCCTCGCCTGTCGTCTGTCTGCCCATCCCTCCTCTTTTCTTCCCATCCCTTCTTCTGACCGGTCGTGATTCCCTTCTGCTTCGCTTCGAACGTTATTTGTCGCTCTCCCTGGTCGCGAAAACCTACATTTACTCCAGTATCGCCCTTTTCCCAACGACATCGGACCTTT